CATGATTTTAATAAATAAAAACCTTCTTTCTTTCTCTTACTTTCTTTCTTTCTTTCTTTCTTTCTTTCTTTCTTTCTTTCTTTCTTTCTTTCTTTCTTTCTTTCTTATGAAAACAAATAGCATACAAGATGAATAAAAATAAAAATAATAATTATAACATTATATATAAATAAATTGTTTGTTATCGTTATAAATTGTTTTCCATTTCTGTTCTCCAGTGAAGCACTTTGGCTGCCTTTTGGTTTGTAAAGTGTATCATAAATAACTAAATGATGATGATGATGGTGATGATGAAACACTCATGAAAACAAATATTAATGTGTATTTAAAGGTATACTGTGCAACCGGTGTTGATTTTCCAGCGAGGCTCCCCCCAGAGGCCGAAAGTAAAAGTGCATTGTCGTAAAATATGCTCAGCTGTTCTCCTGATTTCTGGTTTGAGCTTAGCAGACAGGCGAACGCAACGAATGACTAACACAGTGAAAGTATGAAAATGCACACAGAGAGAGAGAAACCATTCCAATGTTGCTTACAACTGCATCAGCAGAAACGCGAGGTCCGTGTCAGCCTTGCAGCCTTCTTTTTATTTTAGCTCTCGCCATTCAGAAAAAGCTTGCCCGATGTTCACCCGTGTACGACTCCTCTCTCTGTCCGGAGTCCTTTTCCTCTTTCTTGCCTGCTCCGACATGGGCTTTCGCTGTTTTCACGCTGGTTCCGCCATGATAACTGCACAAAGATCGCCACTGTGCTAGCAACGAGCACGCTTTTAACTGGGGGCGTGTAGCAGTTCTCGCCGTAAAGCAAGACCGACTCTCGCGAGACTTCTGAGCCTGTGGGTGCGGGCCGAGGGCTCCTGCAATTGCAAGTGCGGTATTTCCCCCACAGACCACCAGGGCGGCCGAGAAAACCTTTGTTCAACCTGAAATGACTCATTTAATCATCCAAAACGTTATGGAACACATTAATTAACTGAAAAATGTTGCATAGTGTGCCTTTAAATACTTCCGCAACTGACAGCAAAGTCAGCAGCCAGTGAGCTCTTCCATAACCACTACTCCAATTCTAATGCACCCAAGAAATACTTCATGCATTAATTCTAGCATTTCACTCTATCATGTGCATGTGACTTCTGTTACAGCTTATCCTCCCCAGAATCATACACCTCCTTACTTTGATTGTGACTCCAGTTTTGATTTGCTAACATCTATCATGCCATTAAGATTCTGTCCCGTTTGCATGTAGGAAACCAGCTTCTCTGTATGCATGAAATGCAAAGACCGGACACCTGGAGTCATTTTGGAGCAATAACTTTTATGTTTTGCATTCTTTTTATGAGGTTGTGTTAAAGCTCTTTCTACTGTATCACTGTTTCAGATCTGACTCATTCCTACCGTAAACTACAGACTTCCTCCCATGGAAAGTAAAGCTGCAGATGGTAGATTCAACGTGTTTGTCTCTTGTGGAAATGCATTTTGCGTTCTGTGTCCGTCTCCCATAGATCATGACTGAACCATCAATTTCACTGAATGACCTCTGGGTCTAACCAAATGGAAACAGACCCAAAAGTTTAGTTTTAAATTTGAAATTAAAGTATATTACCAATGCATAAGAAAAATTAAGCTTTGGATTTGGTATAAATATAGAAATTTTGTCTATTAAAAAGGACATGAGGCCATTTGACCTCTGTGAGGGAATGTTAAATGTCATCATGGTTCACTTAAGGGGGCTGAACATGTTTCTAGTGTCGAGCACATGCAGAAAAGACACGGCGGGTGATTTGTTAAATGCAGGACATCCTCTTGCATTGTCCCGACAACACGAGGGGACATCTGGCACTGGCAATGCGGCCCACGGTTGAGGTCTCCATCGGCTTTCTCGAGCAGTGAGCTGTGCAGCATTGAAGCACTCCCTGCACATTCTCATGCTAATACTCGGATGGAAGGAGCAGATGTGAACCATTTGGTTCTGTTCTTGTTCCCTTGTGAAGGAATTATGTGCTCCGTTGTCATTATTTCACTTTTTTTTGTTCCTCCTTCTTCTTTGGTGGCCTTAATCATGCTGAGTCAGCGCTGGTGATCATATTGAGAGTTATTCCAATGAAGTTTGATGCTAGAGTTAGAAACTTTGGTGAAAATCTGGTTTGATGTGTGAGTTTCAAGGAGTGTGCATGTTATCAGTATGCTGTTTGTGTTAGTATGAGCTGTTTGTCTTTGCACCAATGTTTTTTAATTCCCTTCTCAAAAAAAAAATAAGGAAACATTTGGCACTGAGTTGGAATTATGATCAAATGCCCGACAAAACCCAAAACCTGAACAAGATGTCAGCTGTTCAATTTATGTTACGCTGTTTACACTGGAAAAAAACAAAATCTAGATAAGTAATTTTTTATTAAAATAGGTGCATTTGTTCTTGGATTGAGGAGGTAAAAGTGACATTTTGCCAATGCAACATGACAATTTATGTTTAAAATAAGAAAACACACTTGCATTGTCTCATTTCAAGTGCATTTTATCTAATTATCTTATTTTAAGAGTAAAAATATTAATTCCATTGACAAACCACCTCATTTATCTACTCAAATTAAGGGTAAATACACTCAATTTAAGACACTTTTACTTATTTTTAGATCATTTTTCCAGTGTAGTATGTTTAATCCTGTTAACAGTACATAATGGCATCTTTTTCACTGTCATAAAATATACCAGAAATTAAGATATATCAGCAGTTGTTTTACAAACCAGTAAAATGTGCATTATTTTAATAAATAAAAACTCTCTTTCTTTTTTTATTTCATTTTTTATGAAAACAAATAGCATACAAGATGAATATACATAAAAATAATATTAATGTACTGCAAAAAATCTAAATCCAGATAGGTCATTTTTTCTTCAAATAAGTGCATTTGTTCTTGAATTGAGGAGGTAAAAGGGACATTTTGCCAATGGAACAAGACAATGTACACTTAAAATAAGAAAACACAATTCCATTGTCTTATTTCAAGTGCATATTATCTAATTATTCCGTAAAAATTCAAAAAAAATATCCACTGGACTTGGTTTCCAAGATTTGAAGATGTTTCTCCACCTCTCCAGGAAGCTTTCTCAATTCAAATGTCTGGATCCGCAGTGAGTTTGAGTCTTATATAGACAAAGCCTTGTATCGCTTGGAAACATGCAAATGGTAACCGATGAATGGGGCGTTTGGTTCCATCGTTAGCCTGTAATATCTGAAACCTGTCTATTTCCCATTCATCTGTGACTGGATGACTGAGAATCTTCATCAGCATTATCTAATTATCTTATTCTAAGACTAAAACTACTCATTCCATTGGCAAACTATCTCATTTACCTTTTTACTTATTTACGACATTTTTACTTATTTCTAGATCATTTTTGCAGTGTGTTACCTCTTATTTTAGCATCTTTTCTCTTTTGTAAACATCATACTTGCACGACATGGCAAATCTTCAAATCCCTTTGTTTTGTACAATATGATCCCTTTTTTGAAGTATGATCCCTTTGCATCATATTTATCTACTTATATTGCACAGCCCTGAACCACATCAGCGACTTTTGCACCGCGTCACTCCAACACTGTTTACATTTTGATTACTGCTGCACTTTATAAATGAAAATGTCCATTTCACAGCTAAGCTGCTGCTTATTCACTGTTGAAAAGCTGTATGTACTGAAATTTCATTTTGAATACACTGTGTGAACAAAATGACAATAAAGTTTCGTCTAAGTGTATCTAAATAATGCATAAAGAAAATCATACACATTTTTTGTTCATGATTTTGAGTTTATCTGTATGAACTCAGTGTATGAACTCAGACAGAAATGCTAAATATCGACCCTCAAGATGTTTTTTCCCAGCTTACATAATGAATGTCTTCACCTTTACCATCACTAATAAAGACTGAACAAGAGTAGCTTTCATGGGATGATAAGAAAACCTAACTTTAATAAAGGCTTTAAACAAAATATAGCCTTCCAGGAGAATTCAATTCAGTTTATTTATATAGCGCAACACAGGTCATCTTAAGGCACTTTACAGTTCACCAGATCGTCCAGTCAGATTGATTCAAAGTGTTCTATTTAAGGAAAACCAGTTGATTGCATCGACTTATTGACTCTTCAGCAATCCCTCACACTAAGCATGCTTGTAGCGACAGTGGAGAGGAAAACTCCCTTTTAACAGGAAGAAACTTCCAGCAGAACCAGGCTCAGTGTGAGCGACCATCTGCGGAGGCCGACTGGGGTTCAAGGAGACAGAAGCAGACATAGAAAAAGAAGCATAGATACAAAAGGCAGCTGTAAAAGGCGGCCCGGTCCAGGAAACACACAGCCAGGCAGACGAGCTCTGAACCAGCTCCCATGTCAGAGAATGAAGAGAGCACATCCAGTTAGTCACAGTCAGAGAAACAGGACTGCACTGAAAAAACAGGTTGATCTCTAACATCTATAAACAAAGGTGTTGGTGGCAGCAGCACAGCTGATATTTCTCTCCAGGATGGAGTCACAGCCTAACAAACCAAATGAAGCTGCTATGAGAAAAAGGATCAAATAAAGATGGAAGCTTAATGTTTTACTGTATGAAAAACAAATAAGAAACGTGTTTTTTCCCCCCTAAATATCTCTTCATTATTTCTCAATAATTATTTTTTTTACTATTTAGAAAATGTTTCCTTTTATCTATGGACATTTCAACTTTACAGTATTGTACTTAAATAAATGAGTCAGAATTTCGACCCACCTGGAAGCTTATTGGTTGTTTGCTTCTCTGCTCTCCCTCTCATTGGTCGGATGGGGTGTCACTCATGAAAATTGACGTTCGAGACAAGTTTACAACTCTCTGCACGTGCAGCTGGTGAATCAGGAGCATCATGCATCCACGCAGTGAAGCGGACAGTAACCTGAGGGCTTATTAACTTTATCACCTGGGTTTATTTCACCTTTACCTGACTGACATCTTTAAAACTTATGTGTTTTTTGTGTTGTTGTTTATGTTTTTTTATGTTTCACATCACAGCTCATATATTAGATTATTTTCCTACTTTTCTTCATGGCAAGTGGACTGGGAGATGATCGCTTAGTATGGCTGAGGCTCCTTCACCGGAGCCGGGATGGCTTTTAGCCGCATCCGCAAACTGGACGCCCCTTCCCGAGGCATCCTCCCCAGGAAAGCGGTGGTCATGCTCTGCTCCCTCCTCGCTCCTCTCCTCCTCCTGCACCTCCTCTCCTCCGCGCGCTGCGCCTCGCCGCTCAGAGGCTCCCTGCGAACCAAGCGGCTGACGCGCGACCGGAGCGGCGCCGGACCGGAGCCGGACGGCCACCGGATTGCGGATGAGTCTCCCGCTTTGCCCCCGGATCTGGTGGTTAATCCGAGGTTCGCAGGGAAGGTCAGTCCGCTCGGGGAGGGCAGCAAGAAGCTCCCCCAGGCTCTCATCATCGGGGTGAAGAAAGGAGGGACCCGGGCTCTGCTGGAGTTTCTGCGGGTTCATCCGGACATCAGGGCGGTGGGAGCGGAGCCGCACTTCTTTGACCGCAACTATGACAACGGCCTGGAGTGGTACAGGTAAATATTTACTAATAAAACCATAATATGCACAAGCAGATAACCTGGAATAAATTATACATAAACTATTTCGGGATACATTGATTAAAATGTACTAATCTGTTTTTCATCCTATTATTTTGCAAGTAAAACTTAAAATTAATGCATGAATGACATTATTTGGGGCAATGAGTGCTCCTAATTTAAAAAGAAACGGTTAATTTGATTTAATTAATTTATTTTTCATGCGACACCAAATTATATTTCATTTGCAGACAGGAATAAAAACGTAAAGTCATCTTAAATTGCAACAAAACATTGTAAATAGAAGAAAGATTCATGCTTTTAAAGAGCTGCTAACAGCCATAAGGACATTAATGACATTAATGGGGTAATCAGTGCTCTTAATTTAAAGAGAAATAGTTAATTTGAATTAATTAATTTATTTTTCATGCAACACCAAATTATATTTCATTTGCAGACAGGAATAAAAACGTAAAGTCTTCTTAAATGGCAACAAAACATTGTAAAATCAAGGTGGTAGAAGACAGATTCATGCTTTTAATGAGCTGCTTACAGCCATAAGGACAATAATGACATTAATGGGGTAATCAGTGCTCTTAATTTAAAGAGAAACAGTTAATTTGATTTAATTCATTTATTTTTCATGTAACATCAAGATGATGTTTCATTTGCAGGCAGGAATAAAAATGTAAAGTTCTCTTAAATTGCAACAAAACATTGTAAAATCAACCTGGATAAAGGTTGTAGCAGACAGATTCATGCCTTTAAAGCTGCTTAAAGCCATAAGAAGTCATTTAAGGTTGCAGTTTCCAATGAAATAAATTTTTGTTTTTCCCCAAATCAAGTATTGTTATTTAAAAAATGTTAAAAATGAAACTTTAGATTTCATTTAAGTGACCTAAAACATGATCAGTTTGTATAATTTCAGCAGCGCATTACTGGAATAATCCAAATTAGGGTTAATTTAACTAAAAAACTTTAATCTGACCGTGATCAGATTCAGTTCGCTGACATGCTGAGCTAATATAAGCCTGTATCTTCTTTATTGTGATATGACTCTTTGATTACTCTTTTTCTATCTATCATGTCTGCATCTATAGAAGCTCAGCCATATTAATGTTTCTTAGATATTCTGGTATGTTATGCTGTGTTCAGCTCCCCTCCTTAAAGTGTGGATTAGGTCTGGGCCAGCTTACCGTTGGGTCAGGATCTTTGAAAATCTTTGAGAAGAGCTGATTTAGGCTGTTCTGACTCATTAAATTGCCACAGTGATAGATCGTGTTTTTCTTGTGTTTTATTTAGCCTCTCATCCATCACTGATAAAGGCACGTCACAGTCCACAAATCTTTATTTTGAATCTCAACTCTCAGAAGTAGCCTAATTGCCGCTGAAATCAGCACGGCCTGTTGATTTATTGAAGCTACGTTTGGTCTGGTTTTATTAGATGTTATCAGGCGTCTCATTATGTTTCACATTTGAGGCTCGACCGCCTTGGGCGTCTTCAGCCAAACCCAGTTGGAACAAAGTTTGAAGCCTGTTTTGGAATAAAAAACAACAAAAGTCTGAAAATCAGGAGCTTAAAATTTGAGATAATTTCTGGCTCATATCTTCTCTGCTGAGTTTATGAGGAAATTTAAACCACAGTTTGTTTTAAACCAGCAGATCAGACAAAGAGATCTTAAATGATGGTTGTATTAAATGAAACATTCTGTTAAACTACAAGCAACTTTAATATATAACGTTCTCTGCCTTTTTTTAAAGCAGAAACATTTATAGCTTTAAATTAGGGATGCATGATATAATCTGCCCCCTATCGGTATCGGCCTTAAAACTGAATATCGGACATCGGCCACCCCACTGATATTGAACCCGATATTTGATCAGCTTCTGAGTTTCTAAAAAAAAAAAAATAAATACTTCTTCTTCTTCCTCAAAAACTTCTTTTTTACAGACTTGAAAACTTTTAAAGACGAGGGAAAAAATATTGATACATTAAAATATCACAATATCTTCATATGCTGATATATTGCCATTAAAAACACCATATCAATCTCTTTTACTAATAAAATATTGCTATATGTCATCGTTATGCTACGAAATCCCCCGAAAATTCACAAAATTTTGCCATATTTTTATATATTGATATATTGACGCGGTATCGTTCTATTTTACTAACAAAATCTCACAAGAATTTGCAAAATATCACGAGAGTTTGTAACAGGACGATGAAATTTCACGAGATTTTGAAAGTAAAATAGATCGATACCGCGTTTTTAAAAATCAATTTGATATCAGCATATGAAAATATATTTGAGTATATTATTTTTCAGTCTCAGAAATGGATAACAAAACTGCTGTTTGCAATGACTACTTATTTTTGTCCAGCTTTAACATCGGTATCGATATCGGTTATCGGCTACATGAGTTTTTAAATATCGGCATATCGGATATCGGCAAAAATCCCAATATTGTGCATCCCTAACTAATTCCCTTCGATTGCATTTAAAGTAGGGATGCACGATATTGGGATTTTGGCCGATATCGGATATGCCGATATTTTAAAACTCATGTAGCCGATAACCGATATCGATACCGATGTTAAAGCTGGTCAAAAATAAGTAGTCATTGAAAATAGCAGTTTTGTTATCCATTTCTGACACTTAAAAATAATAAACTCAAATATATTTTCATATGCTGATATCAAATTGATTTTTAAAAACGCGGTATCGATCTATTTTACTTTCAAAATCTCGTGAAATTTCATCGTTCTGTTACAAACTCTCGTGATATTTTGCAAATTCTTGTGAGATTTTGTTAGTAAAATAGTTGATACCGCGTCAATATATCAACATATAAAAATATGGCAAAATTTCGTGAATTTTCGGGGGATTTCGTAGCATAACGATGACATATAGCAATATTTCATTAGTAAAAGAGATTGATATGGTGTTTTTAAATGGCAATATATCAGCATATGAAGATATTGTGATATTTTAATGTATCAATATTTTTTCCCTCGTCTTTAGAAGTTTTTAAGTCTGTAAAAAAGAAGTTTTTGAGGAAGAAGAAGAAGTAGAATTTTTTTTGTTTTTTTAGACTTTAGAAATTCAGAAGCTGATCAAATATCGGTTAAATATCGGTGGGGTGGCCGATGTCCGATATTCAGTTTTAAGGCCGATACAGGCCGATACCGATAGGGGGCCGATTATATCGTGCATCCCTAGAATTAGTTGTAAGTTATTTCAGCCCGCTGAGCAGCAGTGTGCAGCAATATGTAGGGGAGGGACAGTGCTTTTCTGTGAAACTGAGTAAATTTAAGAGCAAAATGTTTGCAGTTCTGAAACAGTAGCTTCTTTAAACCCGTTTTGGTGTCACTATGTAAAGGAAGTGAGCATTTAGTGATGGCGTTTTTGTTTCCCTGGAAGGTTAAAAACATTATTTCTCCCACAGTTTGTTTACAGAGAATCCGTGTCTGATTCCCTCTGCCTTAATGTCTCCTTTTCCTGGTGGAGGAGCTTCCGTAGCTCATGTCAAACGTGTGATTGATTTCATCTGTCACTGCCCAGAATCTGTGAGTGTTGGTGTGTGTTCACATTTCTGCAGGCCTGTGGGGAATAATGGCTCTTCCTCTCAGTGGCTCTCTGTCTAATGGGCCATTGCCGCCATTGCGGCTCTGTTATTAAGAAGGATTAGGGCCATAATGAAAGGTTACCTGAGTGTCTCAGGAGGTATAATTCACCCTTTGATTGAGTTAACACTATGCAGAGCACCACCTAAAAGCCCAAAGACCAAACTTTTTGCACTAACCAACCAAGAACTCCCCTTAGAGCCCCCCCCTCCTTAAACATTTTTGGCTTTCTCCCATCTCCCACTCACACACCACCCTCTTTGTGCCTCGCTGAGAGTGAACATTCTCTTTTTGCCATCACTCTTTCACACTCCTCTGTTTACCTATTCATCCATTGTGGGGTTTATATCCATGAGGGTCCCATCTATCCCGAGAAGTTGCCAAGATTCTCAGGAATTTGGATCGCGGCTCCAAGGACAGACCTCAGTGCCGGTCCACCTTAATGCTGCCTATTAAAGCCGAAAAACAAAACAAAAAGACCCTTGAATTAGAAAGAAGAATAAATAACTAGAAGAGCAAGGTCTACTCTGCAGGAGTTCATCTTGTCAGAGTCCTCCTGCTGATGGCTCTTACTGTGCCTAAACGGAGCTCTTTCAGAGATGTTGGTTTGAGGGCATAGAGAGGTGTTTTCTGCTGCTTCACTCATGCTTATCCAAACCAAGAACTTGCTCTGATTGCGTTGCTTAAACCAACAAAGTCCTTTAGAAAGTTCCTTTTAACCTCTGTGCTGCTCGCCTGCAGTCGTTTTAGGGATGTTTTTTCTTTAGGTTTTATTGCTGTGGTTCGTTTATGAAATATCTGTTGTTTAGAAGCGCGACTTATGGACTTGATTGCAAGAAAACATCACTGAAAAAACTATCTAGAAATAAGTAAAAATGTCTTAAATTAAGGCCCCATCCACACAAAGCCAAACCCTGGCCTAAACGCACAAATTTTTCACCAAACCAGCCTCTCATCCATACGAAGCCGGCGTTTCGGGGGTCTGTAAACGATCTTTTTTTTATTCAGCCTTCAGAGTGGGAAGATTTTGAAACGCCGTTTTCGCGTTTCCATCTTTAAGCTCTAACCACATTTTTTTTCTTACACGCATGCGTCATAGCGCCGCCTCTAAACACGCATGCAGTATCACAGTATCACAACAACAATGGCGCCGTACTGTGTTGAATGGTTGCTGCTCATGTTACTCACCCTGCTGTCGGGCTTACAACAGAATCTTCTTCTTCAGGAATATCTCCAGGAAGAACAGAGCAATATCGACGACATAGTTCAGCACCTGAATTTGACTGAACCACGAAAATGGACCCGCAGGGCAACCATGTATAAATATTAGTGCGCATGCCCAACATTTCGTCGCCTATTTTTGCTTTGG